ATATTTATGACCATAATATGTTTTGCATTTTTTAGTTCAGTGCAGACGGAGTCGCGGGCGATAGCTACTAAGACATAAAGGTAGTTTGGCTAAATTTTAACATAATGTTAAATCTGAGCTGCACTAATACTTAAAGGCTTTAGCTTTAATACTTTATTCGTAATATAACATGATTTTCAAACCGGAATTTTAATAACACACACTTTGTTCCCTTGCGGCTAATAAGCTTCGTAATTAAAAATTTAAAATATTTTATCGCTAACTTATTTACAATACTAAAATATACTGTAAAAATTTCATTAAACTGATATAAAAACGGCTAAACAATTAGGTATGTTCGTCCGGACGCGGCACCGACTAGTTTCGAGCCCATCGGAGGCTCTTCAACAGGATGAGTGGGACTGGTATTATTTCGCGGAAGCGGCCTGTCGCTCATGAGCGACGAGTGTTTAGCCGTTTTTATATCAGTTAATTATGTCTCACGAAAGTTTCAATAAAAATTTAGTTATTTAAAAACTTCTAAAATTAGACTAAGATTAAATAATAAGCTCTTTCTCCTACCTTCTTACTTATATTATAAATGTTTGGTTGGATGGGTGTTTGTTTGAAGTTATCTCGAGAACCGCTGTATGGATCCGGCTGAAATTTGGCATAGATGTAGAGCATAGTCTGGAAGAACACATAGGCTACTAATTAAGTTTTATTTTTAATATCAAAAAGAATAATTATATAAATAATGTATTAATGCTATCCATTGATAAGAAGTATTTTAGTATGAAGGACTTTGTAATTATTGAAATTTCAGTAAATAAAATATCTTAGAAAAGTAAATCTACAACGTTGGTCTTGCAATTAGGTCTTAGTCCTGAGGGAAATTAGAACAAAACCGATTAATTCTGGCTTTATAATGTGAAACACACACACACATGCTAGCTGTGATTCTCTTAGCGTTGGATTCTGAGATCTGAATCTCTGTGTACAACATATCGTCATCCCTGTCATTATATTTAACAAAATAGAGATAACAATATATTTTAAACGGAAATATTAGTCTCAGAAACCCACCGTTATTGGGATTATTTAACAATTTAAAAACCGTTTATGTATAATATTTTTTTATGTTCTATATTCTAAAATACTTAACTAATTTCTGTAAAATCAGAGTTTTTTATCTTTGTTTTAAACAACTTCCAATAGATGGCGCTATTCGTAAGAGTTTAGATAGTCGGTTTTGTATAATCTTTTCAGATCACGACGTCATCCATGACGTGATGAATTTGGTATGAGGTAAGGACGAGTTCCACGGAGCGTGTATTCTCTGAATGAAATACTTGAGCGCGGGAACATAATGTAAATGAGGATTTAATAGCGCTCGCCTCTGAAAGGGACTAAGATGGAATAATAATTAACACGGCCTACACTTTGACCTCCTTTTATAAATCTAGGTAGAAATTTTACAATTTTACATTTAAACCTACTGAAACTAACTCTTAAATTCTTTAACTATAATATATTATTTTTATTTTAAAAAAGATAAAAAGGTTACTTATCTGTCTGAAAATATGGAGAGTTAGCCGTTAGTTTTTTGTGGTAATGATAAATAATATACCTCAAAAGGTTATACAATACTATATATACAACATATTAATAGTTTGGATAATTATATTTAATGCGAGACTTTATATATTACTAGCTGTCGTCCGCGACTCCATCTGCGGGATTAAAAATAGATGCTGGCCGATTCCCAGACCTATTCAATATGCTTACAAAATTTCATGAGAATCGGTCAAGCCGTTTCGGAGGAGTATGGGAATGAAAATTGTTACACGATAATTTTATATATAAGATATGACATAATTACTTAGAACTCTCGACCCTTGATTCATTCATACATTTGCTCGTTAGTGCAGGACATAAAATATGGAAACGATCTAGTGAAATTATAAATGTTCTATAATATTAAATACGTTAAGAATACTAAAATCAGAGACAAATATCATATATAAAATATAATCATGAAAATGTTTGTCACCGTAATAGTTTAAATGAAGAAATGTAATACACTATCAAAATAAATTATAGATTATAAATTATTTAGACCACCAGTTAATCAATTTCCATAAGTAAGAAAATAATCATAAGTAAGCTAATAATTTTAACTTTATATAAAATAAGCAATGTTATTTATAGTTATTTAAACTCTGTATATATCCGGCAATTGATGGAGTAAATAGAGTAAGGGGAAATTGTCACAATATTGAAGTAGAGAATGTAATATACTTTCTGTAAGGTTGCGGAAAATTTCACTTACCTCGAGGCAAGTTTTGGAAATATAAAGGAAATTTGATATTCGATTTACTTTTCCTTGATTTATTAAATAAGTTTTTATCTAAAAGGTTACTTATTTGGTAAATATTGTTGTACTTAGAGATAACTAAGTACGGAATCTAAGTAAGAGTTTTACTGCATAGGGTCGTTAATAGGTCACTAAGGGATAACTAACGGAGATATAACCATAAAGCGACTCTGAGTGCGGCAGTTGGTATAAATATAACTTAACACTAGTTTTTTATGAGACTTTATGATGATATATCCAGAGGAAGACACCAGCTGCAACATAGACGACCACACAGAACACACGTCTTAAGTGAAACTCATTCCGCATTTCGTCTGATGCAATGCCTACCTGCTGAAAGCGTCACTGGTTTAGGAGTTAAACTTTAAAAAAAATGAAATGTCCTTGTATTTTTCCCGAGTGTTATAGATAGATGTATTTCTTCATTTGTTTTTAATTAATTTACTTAAGACTAGTTAAATTACCTACTTAATTTAGTGTAATAATATTTTATTACGTTTCAAAGTAATAAGCTCTCTATATTTACGACACTCTTTTGAATATGAATCGGCTAATTATTATACAATTTCAATGAGCAAAGCTTTCACTGAGCAGAGAGCGAACCTTTATATATTTCATTTGCTTCTATTTCTGTAATTTTAACGGATACATCTAGGTCGTCTAGAGAATGTTATTACGGTTTATTTTAGCGCAGTATTTCTCTTGCATTCATTTTATATCTAGAATACTATTCATCTGAGTGTAAAGTGGATGATAAAAAGTACATCATCTGAATAATCTGGTCGAATAAATGCCGCATGCATAACTTATCACTAAGGAGTCCCTTAACTTTAGGATAAATCTTCACTGAGGACTGCTTAAGTAACTATCAAATCATTTAAAATAGATGATAAGTTAATCTTACTAATATTGTAATTGAGAATCTTTGGATGGATGGATGTATGTAAAGACATAAGCTACTAATTAAGATTATTAATTACGCACGGACGGAGTCGCGGGCGACAGCTAGTTTTGAATAAATCTATATTCTTGTTATGTCTTACTTTTGTCTAATATAAAAGTACGAGTACATTTTCGTTATAAAAATCTCTTTCTATAGGTGACGAATTTATTAACTTTCTTTAGTCATTTACGGAACTTATTGGAATTAACACTACCATTAAACCATTTGCATCTTACAAAGTATCGCAAGCGAAATTTTTAATAAAATTATGGTTTTCTATGCTTGGGAATATAAGGTAATATTATTTTTATATTAAAATTGCAAGATTACAAAATCAATACCGTCCTAAAGTCTGGTACGTTCGTGCAATGCTGCATTAAAAATCGATTATCTAGAATTGAATACGTTCCTTTTATATTAAGAGATATACCTCATGTTAGTAGAGTTAGGAAGCGAGTTTTATTATTTTCTTGTATCATCTTATCCTTTATAAGTCGATTAAGACGAATCTCAATGAAGCTATAGGTAGCAAGTTAAATATAAGTAGTTTTTAAATCCATTTCATATTTCTGAGTAAATTAATTAAACACAATTATTTTTCAACATATTATTACGATAAATAAAATTTTTGGTTTAATCTTTTTGACCACCTTTGTTGTTAAGCATTGTCTCACGGATATCAAAATGTAAAAGGAAGGGCATCATAACTCACCCTCATAATCCAGAGAGGTAGGTAGAGATCACTGTTTTCTATGACGGAGAATTGATTCATCCCTCTCGTCTCTTCCACATTATACATCTACGCATACACGTTATAGAAATAAATCTTTTATTCATTTTATTTTTTTATGTATGTATGAAATGTCCCGCGCCCTATTGGGTACTTGCGTCTGCCAATTATCAGAAATTTCTTTCTTTCTTTCTTTATTAATTTTTATCAAACCCTCTCGCTGTCAGAGTTTTTTGTAAGTAATGATAGAAACTTATATTGCTCACGCACAGTTGCATACAAACAGTTTTTATATAACGTAGGGTCGTAGTCTTGTCTTCCGCGATGACAAGTCGTAGAAAACTTTAATAATCGTCAAAATGTATGTTTTTCAATATGTTATGTAAAGAAAAGCTTATTATACGTATTTTAAATCAGAATAGAATTGTAACTTTTATATTATTACAAAATGAAACGCCTTCGTATCGGCAAAGTTAGGGTGGATATAGAGTTGAGTATTTCAGGACTTTCCACGAAATTAATTATAGTTTTTTTTTACTTTATTCAACGAAGATAGGATTAAGGCGCCCATTGAAAGAATCCTAAAAACAATTCATGGATTTTAGTCAAAAATCTATGATAATAATTTAAGCTAACTAAAACATGATTTGTCTTGTACACATCTAATTAAAAAGTACACGATGGTAGAACTGTTAAACTAAATCAAAGTATTCTTTTCGCATCCTTTTTTAAATTTTACAAATGTAAGTAAATTTTATGTTTCTTGTTGCTTTACATCCCACGATGCTTTAATTAAAATAAAACAGCGCAGAATTGAGGTAAAAACTATCGAATCCATTTCAAGTAGGGAGTTCAGGTATTATCCGGCTTTGGTTATATTTCAAGTGGCAACACTAGTGTTGTACAATTTTTAAATAGCGCATGCGTTGCCGATGCCGCCTGCCGTACGTCAGTGAGGCGATAGACAGACGGCCAGGCGCTCGCTTGGCGCGGCCAAGCGGTCGCTAACACACAAACATGTAATTCGAAATTCAAAAGTGTTCGATACATCGACATCGATACGTTGGACAGTGCAACACTATCGTTAACTAGTGATGTGAATCGATTATTTTATTTCTGAATTTTTTATAAGTGCGACAGTCGCGTGTGTGGCAAACTGCGGTCTTATTTTTTACACAGGTTTGTTATTTCGATTACTTATTCGCGTGCACGCATAACGAATTATGTTAATTATGACAAAGGTTGTTACTATTATTGTTACTTGTTTTTATTCGATGCCGCGCCTAAATATTCAGGGCACGGAAAGCGCGGAGTTTTCCCTACGCAACGCTACGGCATTATATACGAAATCATTTAAAACGTTGCTTTTAATTTTTTACTATATTTAGATCACTTATATAAAATTACTTTTAGGTACAAGTAATACAATTTACAAGAGAAAAATATTTAAAAGACAAGAAAATTATTATAATATAAAGTATTGATGCATTTAGAAGACTTATCATTTAACTGTCTCTATGCTGTTCATACTATTTTTTACACTTCAACTTTCTAGAGACGAAATTTATTGGGTCGTTGTTTGATGAAACACCTCCAATGATCTGGATTCTTCTATAAGTTTACCAATTCAGTTAATTTATAGCTTTACTGTGACTTCTATTTACTAAATAATTCACTTTTGGAACATAAATCTACCTTGTCATCCATTCTTGATTAATACCAACAACATAAGTCATGCACATTATGTATGGTAATGTATGAATCTGAGATCTTTCATTTCCTGATAATGTTGCCTAAAATAACATAATCCACGTTTTTACTCTTTCCCTTTCCACCCTTTTTCTTATAAGGAAAGGATGGGAAGTGATAGTGGACTTTCCGGATGAGAGGATGCATGGAAAGGGAAAATATTTTCTTTCTGTGCATCCTCCCCTCCGTCGATTAAAGGTAGGCAACGCATATACAATTGCGTACGTCTATGGGCAACGGTCACTTCGCTATTTCAGCGATTTCAGGTGCCTGCTCGCTCGTTTGCCACCTTATGATATAAAAAAAAAATCATACTTTCATTTAAGTTGAAAACAAAATGATTAACTTAAGTTATATTTCAAAAATAAAATCTAATTATTCTGTTTCTAAATGCCATTCAAAACAAATGTAAAATTCAAACGAATAATTTCAAATTTGGTACAAAGATTAAATAATTATATAATTTAAAATAATAGTAGATATAATGTATCTGTGTAAACGTATTTAATCTGTTCTTTTGTATAATTAAAATATAGTAAATCTTTGCCCGACTGTGACGGTAATGAATACCCCAATTTGCGAATTGTGATTCATTTTAAAGTTAGCAAATTGTGACAGTTTTGGGCAATCAATCAAACTTGAGTTGTAAATGTACATATAAATTATATCCGTTATTAACTTTGTTGTTGAAAGTGATGATTAAATTTTTTGGTTACAATATTTATAACATTATTAAGTTGTAAAACTGTTTTTCATACTTACAATTTAGAAATATCATTAACCTGCCCTTATCCCTACGGAGGGTCGGCACAGTCTAAACTATTCCTCCATACATCTCTATCATCTGAATCTACCTCCTTCTTACGCATATCCTCTTTCACACAATTCATCCATACTTTATTTAGTCTTTACCTTTGTAGCCATTCACATTCAATCTTATTACTTTTTGTTTATTTGATCATAATTCATATCATTAGGTTATAATCCTTTTAAAAATATTTATGACAATTTAAATTTAAATTGTCAGTTTTTCTTACTCTATATATTACCTAGAAATTGCCTACAGACCTATTTATATATCAAAAGAAAAAAGTAATTTTTCTGAAATAATTAACAAATCGTATACATAGTCACCAAGGGTGCCTACCCTAACTTTAGGGGCGATTCAATCTATATGCATATTTATAAAATAAGCCCTGTTAAAAGTAGGTTCGGACAACGCAATTTTAATTAAAAGCTTAAAAACACGTAATTTTGAAACTCTTGTAATTATTATCTTCACAACAAATGTGAAAACGAAAATATAAACTTTATTATTTAACTATTACGTAGGTTATTACTTACAGCTTGGCTGTCTAGATAAATTGACAAGGTGGTACATATGACGTCATTATTGCATCCGGGTTAGAGCGTGACGTAGGCGAGTGAAATTACTAGGTTAATGAAGGTTTCATCTTAAGATGAAACAACGCTACGTTGCTAGTATTTCTAACACCTAAATAGTATCTTAAGATTAGCTTAAACATTACTTAGTAGTACTAATTTCCTATTTATATATTGTATTTGTTATGTACATTTTGTTTTATTATGAATTTGGTAATTTTGAGCATTTTTTCTATGATCTCTACAATAAATTAGTTGGGACTGTCATCTAAGGTATTCTTAAGAGACTTGTAACGCTTTTTTTCGTCTACTAAACTAATTAATATCTTTCTATAATATACTAAAGTATGTGTATCTTTCTTTAAGACTAATTTTTAGAACGATTGACTTAAAAAAGTTTTCAGTCTAGCTGCCAGTTATTCAGTTGACATTGAAGACTAATCCTATAACCCATACTACAGTATTTCATATATAATTCGTAGCAATTATATTTGGTATACTCTAATTGTGAATAATATAGAGGCTTAAGTTGGCTCAACCTCAATATGATGCGGTTATTTATCTCCGCGTAGACTCACAAAAGCCTCGCGTAATGAGTTGCAGATACAACTTTGAAACTTTCACATAACATAGTTTGTTAATGTTTGTATATTTTACTCTATGTTACTATAACATAGTTCATTAATTTTTGAAACTTAAGAACCAAATATTGATATGCAAGATACTATGGATTATCTTACCAATATTGCGAGTATTTGGATGGATGTTTGTTAGAAGACGACTGAACAGCGGCTGAATGGATTTCACTGAAATTTGTCATAGAACATAGTCTGAAAGAACACATAGCCGACCAATTAAGTTTTTTTTTAAATTCCGAGCCGACGGAGTTGCGGACGAGAGTTGATAACTTAAAAAAAAAGTATTAATAAATGTTAAAACTGGTAATATCAGATATATAAATCAGGCATACACGAACTACTGCCTACAATTGGCATTTTTAGCTGCGACTGTAAACTGTGGTTCGTGTATTTCAAACTGTTGATTGTCATGCGGCACTCATTAGAAGCAGTCTGTACCTGCTTAAAGCGGATGGAGACAGTAGCCCCGTTTTATATGCTTTATGGATTTTTTTCCTTGCATATCTTTATATACATAATTCTTCTGTGAGTGTGTATGTCACTGAACTTCTCTCAAACGACTGGACCGATTTTGATGAATTTTTTGTGTGTGTTCAAGGGGATCTGGGAATGGTTTTGGTTCACAATTTTGTCCGCTGGACAATGTTTTTTTAATTAATTTTATTTATTAGTAGTTGTTGATCTTGGAATGTTTTACATTGGATCCGACAGACGGCGCTACCATCGCAGTGACAAATTTTAAATAATATTCAAATTAAAGACGTGTAGACAGGACAACGTCTGTCGGGTCCGCTAGTACTATATATATTTGGAAATATCTACGAACTGTTTTGATTAATTACACTACACATAGGTTAGATTGCTGTAGTTTGTTATATTCTAAATTAAAAAAAAAACAAAAGAATTTCAATATAAAAGATTTTCAAACAGAATATTGGCGGATTGATTTCTATTGAAACAGAGAAATATTGATGTACTCGAGCGGTTCGTAGAACTGACCAATACTACAGCCGTTATTTATACCAATATTGAAAGCAATCAAGCATACGAAGAATTTCATATACAAGTGGAAACAGTTATCAATCAACTTTTGAATTTCGCATTTTGTACAAAACATTCCATTTATAATTGATAATTTCAATATTCTTTTCGCTTAACGACAGTTTTGAAACAATATGACATCATTAAAATTACTAACATGTTTATTATTTACATCTGAAATAATTAACAAAAACAATTTATTGAGTTATTCGTTATTTATGTCGATTACTCTAAATTATCTATTTTCACTTAGTAACTCTCGCCATATGTGAGAAGAAGTTCAAAGATATGTGTGAAGTCAACCAACCCGCACTTGGTCAGCGTGGTTGACTATGGCCTAATTACCCTTAACTTAGGGTAGGCTCCGAGCCCCTCGGTGGGGACGTATAGTGAGCTGATGATGATGATGATGATGAACTCTCGCCTGCGACTCCTGCCATCTCGCGTGCGGAATTAAAAAAGTAGCATATATGTTCTTCCAGACTATGTTTTATATGTATGCCGAATTTCTTTGAGATCCGTTCTACCGTTCTGGAGATACCTTGTAACAAACATCCATCCATCCTTTCATCTCAATATTCGCAATTATAGCATAAGCATGATAGTAAGATTATAATATTAGTAAGATCTATTCCTGAACATTTTAATATAGTTTTCTTATTTTACATAATCCGTGGACAAAACCTTATTGTGTTTCCTGCAATATAAAATATAAAACATAATATAATGCCTAAGAAGGTAACAAAACCTCCTTTCGTCCTTTTTTATTTCGCTTTGTGTCCTGCATTATAAGAAGGAATCTTTTGTTGTGTTTTGTTCAGATTAAAAAATGTTGGCTTATCTTAAAATTTACTTTTAGGAATATTTAAAATTAAGCATATAACATCTAGATTCTTATTATTTACTATATGTAAAACACATGTTTTTATCACACGTGTTTCGGTCATACGGAAGAAATAATTAATTTCGGCTTTCATTCATTCGTTCATTCATTCAAAATGAACTGCTATAACCCATTCTTCAAATCCAAACAATCTTACTAATATTATAATTGTAAATTTTTTATTGGAGGCATGGATCTTAATGAAATTTGGCATAGATGTATGACATAGCCTGAAGAACACACAGGCTACTAATTAAGTTTGTTTTTAATTGCGCACAGACGGAGTCGCGGGAACAGCTAGTTCTACATAACGTTTCCAATACTTTTACATAATTCTATATTTGTTAATTGTCATAGAGTAACACAAAAGGAATCAATACAGAGGCGGTTTGTTGCGTGTTAATGCCGCATTAAGCCGCCGCCTACAAAACTATCCCGACATTCATTGAACGTGCCTACTCTTTGTTTGTTTCTTTGTTATTTGG